TCTTCCGCTGCTCCTCGCTGGGCCGGTGGTTGGCCAGGTCGGCCTCAGCTTCTCTCTCGACGGAGATGGATGACTCTCTGGTCTCCGGCTCCTCTGAGAAGAGTACCCAAAAAGACAACTTTTGAAAACCTGGACAACCATCATCATAAAACAATCCTTCTAAGCCAGTCTGCAGAAGATATCTGGGCCAAATTCAAGCTTAACACTAAGAGTAGACATTAAGTGGAACAAGACACCCAAGTGGTTTCAGCAATGGTGGTGCTTGGGAGATGCACAGTTTAAGGCTTGGGGAGGAGACGTTAGCTCTATTAGGGCTGGGCTGGACCGGGAGGGGATCGGCCTGTATGAAACTTTATTATAACATGAAGTGCAGCAGCAGCAGCAGCCCCCCATTTCAACAATTCAGGGGGCTCAAGTCTCTGCTCAGTAAGGCTGCAAACTGAGGCCACTGTCCTCAGTGTCTCCCATTACTTTCCTCTGGGAGCCAGAGCAGCCAATGCTTGTTCCCAGGCACCTTGAAAGACAGCATGGCAAACCAATGAAATTTTGTCCTGTGATGCCGGGCGGGTGGCAAGCAAATGAAGCTAACGTAGAGTGTATAACCTCCCTGTTACAGGAAGGAAGATTTCAAAGGCATTTGGTTGAGGACAGCAACAATTTACATCATGGCTGGCACCCTGCCCGACCTGAATCTCCTACTCCTTGTGAGTTCTTCCCTCCCTGTGCCCATGAAACACTCACAATCCAGATTTGGGAGGGAACTACAAAACAAAAACTCGCCACTTGTTTTAACTGTGTATAATATGTCACATATAGCTTATGGTTTTAATAATTTTAAATTTGTCCATCGCCAGGCATGTAATGAGATAAATAAACAAAGGAAGGAACAATGCCAATGCAGCAAACAGGATAGACATGGGGGAAGGAAGACGAGGGTGGTGAGTGAGCTTCATATCCTCACAACGCACCCTTTCAAACAGAAAATGTTCAAAACATATGATGAAGACCTAAGCTGTACTCCAAATTAGAGAAACGCTCTCCCCTGTAATTATTATTTATCATACCCCTTTCTCCAAGTAGCATATGTGGCAGGTGGGCAATTTTAGCCTCACAACAACCCAGTGAGGTAGACCACAGCTGCTAGAGTGCAGTGACTATAAGACTGCAACCAAGAAGCAAGCCCTATTGACACTGATGGAATATGTTTTTGAGTCAACATACTTGGGACCGAGTTGTAAGTTCATGGCTGACCATCCAGTTCATGAATTCCATAGGCAGCTTCAGACAAGCCACTCTTCTTCACAGCACACCCCTCCTCTTCTAATAAGGAGAATCAAATGCTGACCAGCTTTGCAGGGATGTTGTGAGCATCACCGAGAATGTGCATGTGAGAAAAGCTCTGAATGTTAAACTATTTAGTACTATTAGGTATTCTAGTCAGAAAGAGCAAATTGCACTAGAAAGCACTGGGAAGCTCGGAGATTGAGTGGGACTTTGAACCCAGGTCCAAGCTTAGCATCCCACCCAGCAGGCACACCATGGAGGAAATTATTTTTACAGCACATAAAACCTAAGCCACTTTTGATGAGGAACTTAATGACAGGGGCAAGCTTTTTAGATCCCAGGGCTCCTGGGGTTATTACTCTAGAACAGTAGCCAGTATACGACCACTGTGCAAACTATTGTGTATTTAAGATGCTGTTATTATGGCATGAGTTAACAATGGCACCTGACACTACATACCCCTCAAGTGTGCATACAGATTATATTCACATCCCGTCTGTCCACCAAAGAGCTCAGGGTAGTGGCGTGCACAGGTCCTCACCAACATGCTATCCTATCCACTATCCTGTGAGACTGGCAAGATCCTTTCTTTCACCCTAACCCAAGGCAACCCAATAAGACTGAAGGGATGAGAGGATATGAACCAAGGTCTACTCCAAATCTTAAATCAGTGGCAGTTGAATGACTAGGGGGGGTATTTCTTTGCCCCTCCACATCAGTAAAATAGTTTTAAAATACAGCATTCTATGCAGAGAACATGCAAGTCTGCTTAATTGACATGAGTCACAAAATCCAGCTTTATAGTATACGACCACTGTGCAAACTATTGTGTATTTAAGATGCTGTTATTATGGCATGAGTTAACAATGGCACCTGACACTACATACCCCTCCAAGTGTGCATACAGATTATATTCACATCCCGTCTGTCCACCAAAGAGCTCAGGGTAGTGGCGTGCACAGGTTCTCACCACCATGCTATCCTCTCCACTATCCTGTGAGACTGGCAAGATCCTTTCTTTCACCCTAACCCAAGGCAACCCAATAAGACTGAAGGGATGAGAGGATATGAACCAAGGTCTACTCCAAATCTTAAATCAGTGGCAGTTGAATGACTAGGGGGGGTATTCTTTGCCTCTCCACATCAGTAAAATAATTTTAAAACACAGCATTCTATGCAGAGAACATGCAAATCTGCTTAATTGATATGAGTCACAAAATCCAGCTTTGTCAAGTAATTTGGATTATTTAGGCATGGTGGTGGGTTTTGTTCATTTTGAAACACACAGCAGAGAAAGCTTGAAAAAACACAAATGTAACAAACTTGCTCTGCTGAGAGGATGCTGGCAACTTTTCTTCTCTTACAATCTGTTTAAAGGGGAGAGGTTTTAGGTTCCTGTAAAGCCTGGATAACTTGAGCCTCTAAGGTCAGGCTTCTGCCAAGAAGGTTAAGAAGTTACATGCTAAGACTTAATTAAAAAGAAGCCGACCTCTAAGTAATCTTGTGCTGGGCTGTTATAATCCTCTTCTGTTAGATCAATAGCGCTTGATGACTTAAAGGAGCTTAACGTCACCTTCGTTGTTACACAAAACCCAACAGAGAGATGTTTGAAAATGACATCGACCAAGGCAATTCACCAGCCTTGCAGCTGTGGAACCTTATGTGAGGGTTTTAAAGCAACAGGAAGGGGCTCAGGTGGCCTCTGAGGCTATTCTGTGTAGATTGAAGTAACCCTGCCACATTTTTATATGTTGCAAAAACATAACAACGAAGCATAATGTCACTTAAAAAAAAAATCTCAAAAACTGGAAGGACACATTCAGACTTTTTCTCCCAACAGTACATAGGAGAAGACAAGGTAAACCAAAGGGTTAGGAAGCACAGCTTTCACATCTCCCTTAAAGAATTCCTTGATGTCAGAAGAAACATGGAATGAAGGAAAGCCAGTGAGGCCTGCCGGGAATATGCTGCTTACTGAACATATCTACACTACAAAACTGTATCTGCTTTATACCACTAACTGTCCTGATTTCCTGCGAAGAATCCTGAAAACTGCAGGTTGGTGAGCTGCTAAGATTTCTGCTAGGGTTCCTTCTGCCTTCTTTGGAAAGAACGGGCCTTTAGTTGGAAGAGAAACTCACTCAAAGATGTCCTTCTCCACTGGTAACAACCATTCCCTGAGAGGAGAGGATGACTTAAACCAGCCTAAGTCTGCAGCGCAGATGCAGCAACACTCGCATGTATGTGAAATGACCCTTGTCCCTGAGATCAAGAGGTTTATGCAATTTATTACATAAATATATATTTTTAAAAAAAGAGAAACAGATTTCTTGACACAAGAAGCTCCAGTGCTTGGGAGAGGTGCACATGATAGCATCAGAAGGGCCGCCCCTCTCCACCTAGCCACAAAGGCTCTTGGCAGATATGGCCCTGCTTACTTGCTGTGAGCAGATAACCTGGAGATGAAGGGCTGCCTGCTGAATTGGAAGGGAGAGTTTAAGAATCTTCCCCAGGTGATCCCCTGGCCCTTACCTGCACCGTCGTTCTGGAAAGCTGGGACTGGGTTCTCGCCTTCTTCCAGCTCTGCCTGCAGGCGAATGTTGACGTGGTTGATGAGGTGTGAAAAGAGAGCCAGCGTGAAAGCAATAGCTGCGCTATACTGCTTGGAGCCTGCAGAGAGAGAAAGCAGTAGGGAAGACAGGCTGCAGTGGAGGAAGGGAGCCCCGGAGGCCAATGGTGGGATGGGGAAACACAAGACTCTGCTCTGTTGTAGCCTCCAGCTCCACAGTGTACACATCCATATCCACTGCAAGACCCAACTCCCTACGGTTTGCCACATGATCAAGATTCAGATATTACTGCAGCCAACGGCCAAAGATTTAAAAAGCTCTTTGTGTAAACTTAGGAACCCCTATTTTCCAGCTGCATGAATATCTGGACACACTGTATACAGAAATGCGCACACCACCCACCAGTTATTACAGCCCAGCTATTTATAAATAAATTTTATCCTGGGGGGGAGACAAGCTTCCCCTGGGAACAGCTCTGGCAGTGGGAGGAAGCCTGCTTCGCATACCCAAGTTGCTCCCAGGTTCGGTTCCTGGCATCTACCGTTAAAAGATCTCAGGCAGCGGCTGTTGGGAGAGACCTCCCCGACAAAGCCTTTGAAGACTTGCTGTCACAGGAACTGCCCCTGCTGGATCAGACCAGTGTTCTGTCTAAGCATCCTGGTTCACACAGTGGCCAACCAGCTGCCAGTCAGAGGAGACAACAACTGAGCTAGATAGATTGCCTGCCTCTGTATAAGGCAGCTTCCTATGAATGCCCACAGACTCGCTAGGAGGATTTCTGACTATCTCAGATTCTTCTCCCCGCAATGCAATTGGCTGAAGGCCAATCCCACACCCTCAATTCTGTTGTCTGAAAGGTTTCGGAGGTGCCGACCTCTAAAATGACCATAGAAACAGGCAAGCGCTCAGGCACCTGCAAGTAGCGTGCTGACAGCAGCTGCGCTATTCTGGAGTTCACCCTGCCCTTTCCCTCGACGCGCGCATTACAGGGACATGCTGCTGACCTGCCCTCTTGAGGCTGTGGACGCTCATCAGGCAGACGACGACCATGCGGAAGATGAGCAGGTCTGGCAGGAAGGAGTAGCCGTTCTCGCATTCCTCTTCGTCGTCGTTGGCAGAGCTCAGGTTGGGTGAAGAGGACAAGTAGAACAGGCAGAGGTTGAAATCCTCCAGGACTGACTGGCAGAGAGATGTAAGCTCAGAGTCCACGGAACTAAGTGTCGGGGGACAGAAGGAAAAGAGCCGGGAGGATTTTTTTTAACATTGCAAGCAGAATTTTAAGCAGAGTCCAAATGGATAGAGTGCGCCTCTTCTCATTGAAGGATGCAGGCAGTTCGGAGCTGTTCACACACATGGTAAGTTCAATAATGCAACATGTTTAAATGGGGAGCAGAGTGCTCCCCACAGTACACCTATCAAGCAGGACCCAAAAAGTGTGTGTGGGGGGGGGACAAGTGACACCAACAGCAGCATGTCAGCATAGCGAGGAGAGGACACTTTCAGACCCAGGAGACCCAATAAACACAGCCAACCAAAACGTACCATTAGTGGTGTAAGGAGCTCTGCCCGATGGAAAGACATCCTAGATTGTTAGGCACTTTTCAAATGGAAAAGTACCAGGTTTCAATTTGTGTTATGCTGCTCTACTCCCTGACCTTGACGGACCAATGGCCTGATTCAGTAGAAGGCAGCTTCATGTGTTCAAGTTTATACACAAACAAAGACTCCAAGCCCTTACCTGCTCTTCGGCTGCAGGAGGCTATGCAGGTACATGAAGCTCACCAGTAACCTTTTAATGTCTTTGCACCTGTTGGGGGGGGGGGGAAGGCAGAGAACAGCACATCGTAAACACTTAGCGGACACTGCTCTGGGTTTAGTGGCTGGATCACACAGAAGAGGTATAGAAGCAAGAGAAGGGGGACAGTTGGGCATCATTGGTACAGAAGGTAAAGTGCCATATGTGAGAACACTAAAGGCCCCACTGCCCTGACCTGGATAGCCCAGTCTTGTTAGATTTCAAAAGCTAAGCAGGGGTTGGCCCTGGTCAGTATTTGGGTGGGAGACCACCAAGGAAGTCTAGGGTACGTATGCAGAGGCAGGCAATGGCAAAACACCTCTGAACATCTCTCTTTCCTTGAAAACCCCACGGGGTTGCTATAAATCAACCACGACTTGACAGCAAAAAAAAACCAACTCGGTAGCTGACCATTCACCACCTGCCCTTCCCCTGAAATTTCACAAAACATCATCAACTGCAGCCAAATGAGCTTGATGCTTTTTTAAGGCTTATGCCCCCTTGCCATTTAGTAGTATGTGAGTTCCTTACACTCCTCTGTGTGGCCCCGTTCTTGCCACAGTGACAAACACAGGGAATGTGCGGCGAGGGGTTCTGTCGTATGGCTCAGATGGAGCCACAAATAGGCATCTTGTCACCACCTGACTGCACTGTCCAGTAAGCCACGATTCCAGCTGGACCGCTAGCACAAAAGTGAAGCCACGTGAAAACCCTTTTCCTTCAGAGCAGGGCCTCCCCCTGGGGTGGACCAAGCTCAAGTGCACAGCCCTGCTTCCAAAGCAAAGGGAGAGGTGTTACACATCCTGTGATAATCTCTTCTACTGAAGGAGAAGCTGATATTCCAAAGCAGCAGAACTCCCATCAGGTCTCAGGGCCATACTAGATCAGAGGTCTGGAAACTGTGGCTATAGAGCCAGATGTAGCTCACAGTACAGAACCAAGCATAGCTCTTTTTAAGAAAGAAAACGAAATATTACAGGTAAGGTATATTGGAGAAGTGAGGTGCCAGAATAACCATCAGGCGAAGGGAATGGCTGGAAAAGATTTTTTGGACTGAGTTGTCTTCTTGGAGATGCTTTACAGAAAGGGAAATGATAGTAACAGTAATCCAAGTGCAAACCATGCACAGATTTCTGCCAGTGCTCTACAACGAAGGCACAGGGTGCTCCTGTGTGCATTTATTACTTCGTTGTGAGATCTTGTGGACACCATTTCCTAATAAAGGGCATACAACAAGCAGTGTTTGGAATACAGAATGTTTATGGACTATTAATCAAGACGTCAATCATCAGTAATGTTAAATTCTGTGTTTGCACTTGGGCAAACGGGCTCCCTTATACTGCCTCTTTGCCAACCCTTGTGGCTCTGAAGGCTGACGTAGTTTGGCTCCTTAATTAGAAAAAGGCGGCAGACTCTCCAGGTCTTTTCCTGCTCCTGCAGCTCAGCCTCAGACCTTTTCCAAGGCTTTGTATGTGTTGCAATTCTGCAGGAGTACGGTGTGGGGACACACAACACAACACAGGGCAAAGTGTAGCTTCCCAAAGAACTCAGCTTTCACATCAAATACAAACAAGGTCCGGATGTTTGCTGCTTTTTAATGTATCTGAAAGCACGTGGGGCAATGCCCGGTGCAATTCCTGATGCCAGGGAACTCAAGGAGGTTTCCTGGAGCTGGAGCGTAAATGACCACTCCTTACAACTAGAAAACTGATATACTATGCAAAGTAAGAAGCTGCTGCTCCACAAATCTCGTAAAATGTCCTCAATCTGCACTGAATTTACCCTGGTTGAAGAATCTAGACTGCTTGTACAAAGGGTTTTTGTTTTCATTTTTGCTCTAAAGATTTCCACCTTGCCCTCCTTTGGCTCTGTCCACCTGCATAAAAATGTGTCAGTCACTGAGCAAGCCCCCTGGACTTGCAAGACCTCGAGGACAAGATAACCTTGAGGCTTCCCCCCACAGCTCAGTTGGTATGTAGCAGCACAAGTTCTCTAGTTTGGAAGGAAGAGGAGAAATAAGGGTCTGAACTGCAGCTGTGGCTGGTTCCCACCCTCACCTAGTTTGCATATGCAGCGGGAAAAAGTGGAAATAAAGAGGCAAGACTGCACAGCTGGAGGTTTCCAAATGCTTCTGTGACACACACAGAATGGGATGGGTTAGCAACTCCCCCTCAGGCACTAGATTTTTCACATCTGGGATCACTCCAAAATGGCACCCTCTATATGCAGCCTGAAGTGGCGTATTCCGCTTTACACCACAGGAGCCTGCAGTCTTATTTGGCAACATGTGCAGATGTGGCCTGGATCAGCAAAGCCCAACATTTAATCAGTTTAGTGGTTAAGTGTGCGGACTCTAATCTGGGAGAACCGGGTTTGAGTCCCCACTTCTCCACTTGCACCTGCTGGATGACCTTGGGCAAGCCATAGTTCTCTCAGAGCTGCTTTCTCAAGAGCAGTCCTCACAAGAGCTCTCTCAGCCACACCTACCTCACAGGGTGTCTGTTGTGGGGAGAGGAAGGAAAGGGAGTTTGTAAGCCGCTCTGAGACTTACCACCTCACAGAATCCCCCTGCCTACTCTTGTCTCTAAATGCTGAGAACTTTACACACCACAAGAAAACCTGCTACAGCTGGTAAGGTAGTTTTTAGCAGCACTGACCCTAAGGTGCCCCCTGCCACACACTCTCCTGGCCAGGCCATTTCTTTGCGTGCTTCAGCCAAAACCTTTAAATGGTGATGTGTCATCATAGCAACCAGCCTGCAGCACCCTCTGCTTTCCTGCTCTTCCTTGGCACACAGCTCTGCATAGATTTCTTTTTTTGAAAACCACAGATGGCCCTTCTGTCTAAAACCCAGACTACAGTTTGCTCTCTTCCCTCCCAACTAGGACTAAGTCAGTTGCAAACTCAGTTTCGGGTGGAAGAGAGAAAACAGTCTTATGGCTAAGACTAGCAGCGGATCGTCCGTTCAACTTCCCAGTGGGCTGCTGCCCAGGAGGGCATCTGGTACCCAGGACTAAGCTAAGTGAAATGGAGTCCCAGCAGTCCTAAAAAAGTTGCCTGTCTTGGACCCCAGCCAGTGGCAATGGATATAGGTGGGGCCACTCAGCCTGGACTCAGACAGCGGTGACAGGTGAGCACCTGCCCGTCATCCCCACTAGCCAGGTCTGAGCTGAGCAGTCTTTGCACTATTGCCTGGGCTGGTTTACTGTGTTTTACAGAACTCCTTATTTTTGTTTAAACACAAGTTCCTCACAAGTTACATTTTACAAAAGGCTCCAAAACATATCCCAAACAGAAGGGGCCAAACCAATTTGTGCACCTTACATAAGTCAGAAAGAAGAAAGGAAAGAAAGCAATTACAGCAGCTGTCATTATACAATAGTCATTCAGAAGTGGTTTTAACACTGCAATCCACCCCTGGTTCAGACAGAATGACAAGCTGCTATTGTCAGGAAAGCAGAAGCATCTAATTCCTGAGCTGTGGGCCAGGTGAAGGGGGACAGGAAGTGCATGAGCTGAAGGGCCCTCTGGGCTCATTCCTATCCACAAAATGTGAACAACAGGGCTTGGTTATGGTGGCCAAGAGAACAGCAAAACATCCTGGCATACCAGAATAAGGTTACTGTCAGGAATGCATTCGCCCCATGCGTCCACTCTTACAGGCAACATCACAGAACTTTAGAAGTATGTTCCTTCCCTTTGGCAAAAAGGGACAAGATTCAGGTTATTATAAGACAGAGCAATCCACACAAAACAAGCAATTCCTGTGCGTTTTTCAGAGACACACCTTATTTGCCATGGGCTACTCATTCACTGGTCCCTGTGTTTCTCTACGGAAAAATTCAGGGTAGTAATCCTGTTGTGTTTACATACAGGATGACCAGCTTCTATACTGCGCTCTACTTTCCTGGTCATGGGACTGAACACTCTGCTACTCAGACAGCAGAATCCATAATATGGTCAGGGCCATCGGGTAGTAAACGGTTCAGAGTTCTAACAAACGCAGTCAGAGAATTAGAAAATCCAGGAAAATGCACCACATAATTGGTTTCTTACAGGCTAAAAAAGTTTCTCTGTACAAATGAAACTGTGGATAAACTTTTGACTATGCACAATTCAACTGAAGTTTAGCAAGGGTGTAGGGACAGCTGTGGAGGGATTGTCAAATAAAATGATTTGGAGGTCCAAACTCAGACCACGGATGAGCAAACAGCCATGTGAGCTAGTATTTGGGGATTCTTCAGCTTCTTTCCACTAAACTTCTCTTTGAACAAGCCAACCAGAGTCTGAAACGGTCTTGGGTTTTGGTAATTCCAAGTTTGATCATGAAAGGCTCTTACCTCTTTTTGCTTGGTGACAGTTTCCTGGTTTCACATTTCTTCAGCTGGTGATACATTTTGGCGGCCTTGTCATAGAGACGTTTGAGGTTCCCATAAGCACCTTCGAAGGACACTTCAGACTGGATACTGAACAGGCAAAGGGTTCCACAAAACAGAGTTGTTAATTTCTCATTAGCCTTCTGCTCCATTTCCTTTTCTTTCTTTAAGTCAGAAGAGCTGTACTCCACAAACTACAGAATTAACACAAATCCAAAGAGCTTTGTACACACTTGTTCTTTCATATGTCACATCCCTAAAGAAGAACTGAGAGCTCTGCAAGGCATGAATATTTTTTCAACCACCCTTTGGGTTTCTACAGCTTCACTGCCCACACGTTTTCAAGCATATGGGCAATTCTCACATGACGCAGCAAGAAAGCCAAACCTTCCCCATTGAAATTTCACTCAAATCAACCCAGTCTCCTCTGAACACCAGATACTGGCGGGCGAACAGAAGGGATGTCTCCCCACACCCTGCATGTCAGCATTCCAGAACTATCCAACTGGTCATCGCTGTGAAAACAGGATTCTGATCTAGAAGGGCCAGTAAGGCACTCGTTACATTTTTATAAGCGTGTCTCTTCAATCCAAAGATTTTTAGGCATCCCACTGAGCATCTGATTTGGGAGAGGGTACACACAGAAATGTAGTGTGCAGGGAGGCCCTAAATTACAAGGTTCCACAAACCCAGATGCCAATAGCGACCCCATCCCCAAAGTTCTCACTGAACTCAAACAGACTCAGGGGAAGGGTCTCTCTCACACTCTGAGGAACCAAAAAGAAAAGAGCAGAAGAAAGGAAGCCATTCTAACGTTCACCGCCTGTAGACCCCCACTGCTAGTGATCCCATGTCTTCCTTGTGCCAGAACACTCAAGGGGATAGGCAAGGGTCTTGAGAAGATAAGAAACTACGGGAGAAAGAAAGACACTGGTGGTGACTACCAGTGATAATGCTTTTTTAGAAATCACAGTTAAAACCCTGTGGACCTCAGCTCAGCCACAGAGGCCAGAAACATCCGTTTGCGGCGTTGTGTTTCAACTTAAAAACAGAAAGTCTTCTGGCTACCCAATATGACACCCAATAAGAGGAATGGCACACTTGCAGAACATACATACAGCACCAATTGCATGTTTCTGCTTTTCACCAATTTGCAGCAAGATCTTACAAACTGCCTGTTTACTTGTGACCAAGGGGCCATCATCCAGGCCGGTCAGGTTAGGCAGCTGCCTGAGCAGCATTCCAGGGATTGTTGCCCCCAACAGCTGTATTCAGAGCAGAAAAACAACCAACAACGCTGCACAAAGAAAACAGTTCTGAGGCCCATGGGCAACAGGCAGACATGAATGCGCTCCTCCTTCCCCAGGGAGCTCTGTGTGAAGCAACTCACCAGCGCAGGTAGCAGTAGGTAGCTTCCACGTTGTAGTATTTACTCCCAGCCAGTGTCCCCAGCTGATTAAAGGGCATACCTAATGTAACAAGGCAAAGTGAGAGTGAGGCTACCTGTATTTGTTCATACGTCCAAACGAAACAGGACATTTAGTCAATGCAAGGCACTACAACCTGCCTGCAAAGCACAGGATTCAGTATTTCTGAAACATGAAACTTCAAGGTGGAAAGCACCCCCCTCATATTGATGCAACAGTCTAGCAAGACTGGGAGGGAGCCGGTATCCAGCAAGGGATGCGAGGGAAGGCCCTTTCCAGGCAAGAAAGATACTGCCTCGCTTGGGCGCAGCTAGGAGGCAGAACTTTCAAGAACCCACAAGTGACAGGACAGGAGAACCAGAGAGTTTGCTGCTGGGCTATTAGGCATATGCGGTCTGAACAAGTCTAGACCTTGTCGAAACATGGATGATGAACGTAAAGCCCATGTAGCTGACTAATTAGTTTTCAAACATATGTACAGCTTGTAACAGCGTTCCGTGCGCCTTGGTCATGCCGGCCACATGACCACGGAAACGTCTTCGGACAGCGCTGGCTCTTCGGCTTTGAAACGGAGATGAGCACTGCAACCCTAGAGTCGGACTCGACTGGCTTTCGAGCAAGGGAACCTTTACCTTTTTTTATAGGTTACTGACCAGCTCCACACCTACTCTGCTTCATAAATCCCGATATATTCTGAGCTTGCTCACATGGGGCCCCAACAGGGGACATTATTCTGCAAGGGGTGATAGGCCAGGAATGTGGGCTCTACAGTCTGACACACTCCTACCTGAGCAGAGACACAGCTGATGGGATCTTTAATCCCCCCTCCTATCCAGAATGAACACAAAGAAACATCGGCAGGTTCCTCTCCTTATTATGCACCTCAGCTGCTGACGCCCCAGCCCTCTGTCTTGCTTTGGGATCCTGAACAGGAGTTTAAACAACTGCAGTACTCAAGAGTCGAAAGCCTCTGGGGCTGTTCATCCGGGAGAGGAAGGGCTTGAAGAGGCCCTCATTCTACAGCCTACTTGGATAGGAAAGCAAGTGAGGTGCGCAAAAAGCTGAGTGGGGTCCTTGGGATAAGAGGATACGCCAGGGGCTAGACTGGAAACCAGTCCTGCATCTCAGAAAAAGAAACAAGTGACAACTTGTCCCCGGCAGGAGCCACTGCCAGACAGGCAGCATGGTAGACAATGACAAAGGGTGGCGATCAAGGAAGGGTGAGGCAGGAAATTCTGCCTGTTGATCCTGGCACCATGTGGAAACCATGCTGCGACTGCTGCCCGTGAATTTATTCAGAGGATTTTATTTATTTATTTTTGTAAACAGATTTCAGTAGCTCATAGGCAATAAAGCAGGACTGAAGACGGTTTCAGCTCAAACTTGTAAAACAGTTTCCCTTTCCTCTAAATGCACAACTCATCAACTCTCCAATACTTTGCACTAGACTAACTTCGTAACTCCCTTGCAACTTTGTTACCCATTCGCCCTACACCAAAACAGCCTCCTGAAAACCCAGGGTTCTTTCTGCTTACATCCTACTTCTCACAGCCTCCTTATCACCTCCCCATAACCTTCCCAGCATTACAATAAATCATCTTTTAGAAAGAAATTCAGGCTCCACACTTACCAATCTGTGGTGCAACAGAAAGGGCTTGATAGTAAAACCTCTCGGCCAGCAATTCTGTGTCCACACCTGCCAATTCATTCTGATACCGAGCTGAAAAGGAACACCCGTGTTAAGAGTATTACGGTTCGCAATAAAGCAGAGGCCTTGAATTGCTGAGTCAGCACAATGCTGCAACATTCTGGCAGGCTTGATGGGCAAGTGAAATTATGAACTTTTATTCAAAGAGCTCTGTAAATTTGCTCCTCTAGGCAGCAAGCAAGTTTAAAGCAACAAATACAGCTTCATTAAAACAAAGTAAAATCCCAAATAATATCTACACACAGCACTAGAACCTTCCCACTCTATTGCTGCCAGAACCCAAAAACACCTGGAAGAGGCTCAGGCTTTGGAGAGTCTCCATGAGAGAGTGGATTAGCCCAAGCCATTTACTTACTAATAACCCAGAAAGTCTGCTTCTCCTCTTCCCTGCAAGTCAGGACCAGAAGGGTGCCCACTGTTTAGCCAAGAACCTGGACATGTTAAACATTTACCCCCCCACACACACACCAGCTCTCACCTAAATCCCCAAGATAAACCAGACACCGGTGGCAGGCCATCTGAGCCCATTCCATCTCCTTCTCGGATGCAGACACGGGTTTCTTGCAGCCTAGGCAAGAGATAAGTAATTAAACAACCTGGATGAGCTGTACAATCAGGACACAAAGCTGGCTTCAGCAGCCATGTGCAAAACCCAAGCATGCTCACACAACAACCCACGAAAACCCTTGCCCGCATAGCCAAGCACAAGCATTTCCGTGATCCCCCAAGCAGACCATGCAGTGGTGGAATCAGCTGTAGCAAGAACCTCAAGTCTTGTTCTTAACAAAGGAAAAGCCAAGCTTGAAATGATTCGTGGACAGTACTCCTAAAGAAGCCGAGACCCTGTTGTGGACAAGAAGTGGAGCTTGAGAGCCATGCTCTGCGTAGCCCCATGCAATGTTCCCTCTAAACTGTGGAGTCTTGTGAGCAAAAATTCTACTTTGTGAGCTACTGGCATTAAAGTTCTGAGCTAGCAATTTGGCTACTGCATTAGATCAGTGTGCTCTGGAGCCATCCTTCCTGAGCTGAGAAAAAAATCTGTGAGCCAGAGACTAAAAAACTGTGAGCTAGCTCACACTAACTCAGCTTAGAGGGAGCACTGGGCCCATGCCCATGGCTATTAGAATAATGCAAGAAATCAGCAACACACTTATGTCACTGCACATTTCTCAGGTTCTTCTCAGACGTTTTGGTGCCTGCGATTTTACTGTACACATAGCCCTGCAAACTTGATGTGATAATTGATCTCACAATAATCCGTTTTTATGTTTTCTGTCTGTGCATTTTAGCTCTAGGTTTAATTGTTTTAATGATACGTTTCTGTTGGTTTTAAGGGTTTTTAAGATGTGACTTACTAAGTATGTTTTAGTTAGCCGCCTTGGTGGCCCTTATGAGGGTAGAAAAGCAATGCTGTTTTCTTTTTTCCAAAACTCCCCCCCCCCCAAAAAAATAAGAGGACATGTTGATGGCTTCATAAATTCATGCACAGGGAGGAAGGGAGGCTTCGCTCATCTATATCACACTATGGGTCACTTAATGAAACTGATTGGCTATAGATTCAGGGAAGACAAAAAGGAAATGCTTCTTGACATTTGCTTGCGGAATTCACTATGACAAGATGTGGCAAAGGAACTCGTTTAGACAGATCTATCACCAATGGTTGTTCAAAGGAACCTTTGTGTTTTGAGGCAGTGTTACATGGGACAAACAACAGGGAAAGGCTGCAGCCTTCATGCCGTGCTCATAAGCGTCCGTGAAGCATGAGGCCTGGCGCTGCTGGAAACTGGATGCTGGGCTAGATACACCTTTGGTCTGATCCAGCAGCCTTGTGAATAATTCACTGTGTTGCCAGGCTCAGACATGAGTATTCCTTCAAGAATGAAAGGTCAAAGTTCATATCCAGGACAAGTTTTGTCCAAGGAAAATAGAATAACCATAGCTGGGCAGTGGAGAAGACCCCAGGAGGCGACTCTAGGATTTGGACTGCCGCTGCCACAGGAGATGATACTAGGCTTAGTGGACCAACCATCTGGCAGCTTCACCTTGTACACACTGCTGCAGCAGGACCTAACAGACACTTTTATACTGTCAAGTTTGCCTGAAACAGAAACTGCAGCTATAGCTTTTTCCAGCTGAGAGTTCCTTCTCAAGCCGAAAAGAGGGCTGTGGCTCTGCTCAGGATGTATTGTCCCTTCTTCACCAGTGTGGAGACACAGAGGCAGTGCAGGCCACGTCTGACTAATCACAAGAACATGGGCAAAGTGTGAAATGTATTAAATGGCTGCAGTGGCCGAGGGTATAAAATGTATACACTTTATTCTCACCCACCACCTTTTTTAAACACTTTACAATTAAGAGACCATCGGGAAAGTTGCATGAACAAATCACCCCTAAAACCTTATCAGTAGAGTGGACACCTCTCCCACCTGCTTCTGGGTATAAATTATACTTTTGAAAGAAGTTAAAATTCACAAAGACTGTTCAGCAGCTCAGCCATAAAAAATGCATTCAACGTGTCAAAGAACTCCTGGTCTGGAAGTCATTTGAAGGACTCCATCAGTTCTGCAGTGATATCAATGAGATCCTCACGGCAACGGTTGCCAAGGACACCAGATTTTTAGCGCATCACTCAGGGAGACAAGACACAAGGCAATGATAGACTTCCACCGTTCAAGAACTGAATATGTCCACTGAAAAGGCTCAGAACAGCATCGAGTCAAATATAAGCTCTCTCCAACCATCATTCAAATATATTGGAAATTTCTACCCTATAGAGAATTCTAAACATCTTATAATGTGAAGGATTCAAAGGTGCCCTTCTGCAAGCAGAATGCACTTCAGCTCTCACAAAGAAATTTTCATAATTTCCCATCTGTGCACAGTCCCCTACACCACTCCTGAAGATCCCAGGGCTCTCAGGTACAGCTTAGGGGGGGGGGGGGGGGGGAAGGAAGGAAGGGGTGCAGGGAAATGCAGATGGGAAGGATCTGTTTAGTTTCTTGGATCCAGCCCAGTACAATCTAAACTAAGGCTATGCAGAATTAACAACTAACAACCCAAAAAAATCCCATTTAACATGGAACCAAATAATAATAGTAATAATAAGAGACTGGATTGATACACTGCCCTTCACTACCCGAAGGAGTCTCAGAGCAGCTTACAATCTCCTTTCCCTTCCCCTCCCCACAACAGACACCCTGTGAGGTAGGTGGGGCTGAGAGAGCTCTCTCGAGAACTGCCCTTGAGAACAACCCTGAAAGAACTTGTAACTGACCCAAGGTCACACCAGCAGCTGCATGTGGAGGAGTGGGGAATCAAACCCGGTTCTCTTAGATTAGAGCCCGCGCTCCTAACCACTATACCAGCTCAGCTTGTACTGAGCCCAAATTTAAGGAAACATGAATAAATCCACATCAGCATTCAATTAGCAGTCAATTATTTCTTATCTCCAGCACAAAGTTTCCAATGATTCCCAACATATAACATTTAACATATAACATTGAACATTTCTGCATACCAGCCTTCTGCTGTATACTTTTTATTCCAATCATCACTAATCAATTTCCAGGTATGTACAACCTTCCTGCCAACCTAGCAGTTCGAAAGCAAGAAATTGCAAGTAGATAAATAGGTACCACTTCGGTGGGAAGGTAACAGCGTTCCATGCGCCTTGGTGTTTAGTCATGCCGGCCACATGACCACGGAAACGTCTTCGGACAGCGCTGGCCCTTCGGCTTTGAAACGGAGATGAGCATTGCAACCCTAGAGTCGGATTCGACTGGCTTTTGAGCAAGGGAACCTTTACCTTTACAACCTTAGCACTAGTACTTGGCTTATTCAAACATGTGAGATTTTCTTATTCAGATAAATCACTACATGCACAAGCTAACAGCAGAGCCAGGGAACTGTGAACTTCAGATATGTCCATTCTGAGGAGCAGAAGCCACCAGGGTGATGGGTCCCTGCCTAACATCCCAAGGAAAGGAGGTGCCCTCATACCAGAAGATCCTTTGCTTGCAGGAAGTGGTATTCAGGCTCTCTGGGGCTTAACCTGGGCCAGGCCTGTCCCAAGAGAGGAAGAGCAGACAGCATACCGGAAGGAGTCAATTGGCACGTATAATAAAAAGGCTCAGATCCTGGGATGCAAAAGCATCAGGGTGCACTTCTTTCCCATCCTTTCCTAGCAGTTTCTCAAGACCTCCACCACACGGTTGCTTGAGGCTGAGGGACTTGCGTGAACAAAAAACTAGGCAGTCCAAGAGAACCAGCCCTCCTCCCCATCACCTTTCCCTTCTGCTCATGTCAGCAAAAATTCCACAGGTACAGGAGCAGTCTCTTCCCAGCTCCCGCTCCTCAACACATGTCCTCAAATCCCACAACTGCAGCATCAGTATTTTAGGGCTTAACCCAGGTCTTGGGGAGCTAGTGGGGAAAGGAAGAGGGGGAAAAGAGAAAAGCAACAGTATCCACTCACATCCTTATGCGTTTACTCTGTAGGCTCTGAGCCAGTGAAATACACCAGTACATGCATACTAACCTATCAGGGGATCTGTTACATGTGTCCAGTCAATACAGCACTGGAGCTCGAGCTGATAGTGAGACTGAATGTAGAGGAGAAGGTGCTGGTAAAACCCGATGCCAGCAATAAGGTGAGTACGGTAGGCACACTCCAGGGTACTGCGACTATGAATGTGCTGTGGGATGGAGAAAAAGAGAAAGTAAAATCACAATACTTTTGCAGGACAAGCACAGTCCCCAATTTACTCAGCAATAATCTACTTGTATTTTGGTCCTTCTTAAAACAATTTTGACATATGCACCAGGTGGTAGTAGTTTACTGATAGCTGTGTAGTAGTAGATGGCTGATGGCTGCAAGTCCCACACATGACCACCTTAGAAGCACTTTTTTAGCCTCCAGCTCACACATTTTCGTCTTAACTCAGGAAAGATGGCTCCAGAGCAAACACATTCATACATTAGCCAAATTTCTTGCTCACAACTTTAATGCCAGTAGCTCACAAAGTAGAATATTTGCTCACAAGACTCCACAGTTTAGAGGGAGCATTGTAAATCCAAACTGAGCTGTACCACTTGCAGGGCTCCTAAATCAACTCAACTAGCAATTCCTGTGCTTCCGGTAAAAGCCATGTTTGCAGAAGAAAAACCATTCCTTTCTTCCAAAGAGATATGGAGCATTTTTTTTTGCATCCTCCAAAAGTCCATCATATGGGGACTCACTGTTCTCCCTGAACAGAAGCAGTTTCTTCTGCTCCTTGGCCTTTACTAGAAATGCCAGAATTTCTACAGAGAATTGTGCGTTTCTCTCCTAAGTGCAGTAGAACTACTACATTTCTTCCCCAATGAAGCACTTGCAGAAGACACCAGCAGTACTTTCCCACTGCTTCCATCTATAGGAAAAACCCAATGGCAGAGGAGAGCAACAGTCACTTCCTTTCCTTCCTGCAGAACTTCAGAAAAAGGAAAGGATGCTTCCCACAGGGCACTTTCAAGAGCCAGCAGTGAAAAAGCACTTCTTGCACCTGCTCCAAACTGTGCAAAGACAAACACACAATCTTTCCCCAAGTTCTCTCCATAAACCAGAGGCTTTTGGGCAACACACAAGCAACAGTTCGGCAGGTAAAATAAGCCGAAAAATTAAGGACCCATGACCACTCCAGACTGCAAACAGGAATTTGCATGTCTGAATGCTCCCCCATAACTAGCACACCAAGGAGAAGACAACTAAGCCAGAATATCACCTTGACATGATAGTTTTCTATGAACAAAGAATGCACACAAAAGAATACTTTTTGTACAGAGGCATTGGTTCATTCAAGTCTTTGCTGGCAGTCTGAACTGAAACAGCTCAGACACAAATTGAGGACCTCCATCAGAACTAGACCAAAATGGAAAGAAAGGATGTTTTACCCTTTCTTAGGACTGCTTGAAGCAGGGGTGGGTGGGTGGTACTGCCACCTGCGGGAGCGAATGCTGAAGTGGAAGGACCAATGAAGGGCAGTTGCAGCAATAGCAACAAGGAGAACCAGAAGACCTACTATGAGGGAAAAGGGAGCCCTGCAGGCAAAAAATATTTGTGCACCCTTCTACTCCTTGGTTTCCATGCCTGCAGCATTCTTTACTCATATAAAAGGAGCAAGAATGCCTGTGATTAGGACCATACCAGCAGCTACTGTGTGTGTTCTGCAATCAAATCCAGAGACCAAGCTTAACAACCACTGCCACAGCCTATTCTGCCCCTTATGTTAATTGTATCAATCTAGCCCATCTTAGAACAAAGAAAGGTAATGATAACCTGCCTTCTTATTTGTTTTAATGAGCTGGATGACCTCGTAGTAAACTTTCCTCCAGAGCAATTCCTCCGCTTTCCTCCCATAATCCACCGGGTGCAAGAACATCAGCTTCACACATAATTCACGTAGCCTGAGGAAGGAAATTGTTGGCGGGGGGGGGGGGGGGAGAGAGAAGGAGGGAGCATTATACTATAAACTTGGCCAACGGAGCCATTTCAAGCCATTAACCCAACCCACCACAACAGGGACACATGCATGGTCTGAAGTTACCCATCTTTGCCGCAAAAACCTAGTTGTGACAAAAAAGATTTCCAAAAGGATGGTAATGGACCAAGCGGCCAGAAAAATCTCCATGCTGGCTGGTAAATAAATAATTTGCCTGGTCACCCAAGGCAAGGAGGAACTGCTTCCAAGAGCTCAGACAGAGAAGCCTTTGGAAGAGCTAGGGCATCATCTGTTGGAGAATTCACCTGCATAAGCCCCATGGAAGGAAGCTGTATGGGAACCCTTGGTTCTCCCACATTCAGGCTCTTGATAAGCCAAAGATGATTCATCTAGGCATGCATTTATTTTATATATCCCACCTTGCCACTGTTAAGACAGAGTTCAAGTCAATCAATACAACAATAGAATCTCAGTATTTATCACAGCTTTTGAGACAAAACAGTCTGATAAGCCCAAATTAACTTGCCTTGCAAATCTCATTAGACTATCTACTCCCAATTACTGAAGCCATCTGTGAGAAGACGTTTTTCCATGTGGGCAGCCATGTTTGCCTACAGTAACAGAGCAAGATTTGAGCCTTAAAGACCAACCAGATTTCCAAGATACAAGCTTTTGAGAGTCAAAACTCCATTCACTATAAAGCTTATACTCTGGAAACCGTGTTGGTCTCTAAGGCGCTACTGGAGTTGAACCCGGTTAGACAGCATGTGTTCTAGTCAGCACCATGAGTACCAAGTGCCTTCTTGCTGGTCAGGTCTCAGGTAAGATGTAGATTAATTGGGAGGGGGGATTTGTGAGCCAGGAAAGTGGGCTAGTGCCTTTTGTACATGGTATTTGTCAGGCTGCTCCCGAACTTCATTCTGTAGAAAAAGATCTGGCTTCCTGTATGGTGAGAACTGACAGTGAACCAGCAGGATCCTCTGCTGGAGGAACCATGTGGCCTCCTCATTAAGGCAGGATTCTGAGTTTCTGTACCATGAGAAATAATAGAGGAAAACAACAGAATGGGAAGAACTAGAGATCTCTTCAAGAAAATTGGAGAAATCAAGGGATCGTTCCATGCAAAGCTGGCCATGATAAAGGACAAAAATGGTAGGGATCTAACAGAAGCAGAAGAGATTAGGAAAGATGGCAAGAATACACAGAAGAACTATACAAGAAAGACCTCGATGTCCTTGACAACCACAATGGTATAATCACTGACCTTTAGCCGGACATCCTGGAATGTGAAGTTAAATAGGCCTTAGAAAGCGTTACTAACAACAAAGCTAGTGGAGGTGATGGTATTCCAGCTGAGCTATTCAAAGTCTTACAAGATGATGTTGTTAAAGTGCTGCACGCAATTTGCCAGCAAATTTGGAAAACGCAACAGTGGCCACAGGATTGGAAAAGGTCAGTATACATTCCAATCCCAAAGAAGGGCAATGCCAAGGAATGTTCAAACTATCGCACAATTGCACTCATTTCACACGCTAGCAAAGTCATGCTAAAGATCCTACAAGCTAGGCTTCAGCAGTATGTGGATAGAGAACTGCCAGAAGTACAAGGTGGGTTTCAAAGAGGTAGAGGAACTAGAGATTAAATTGCCAACATTCGCTGGATTATGGAGAAAGCAAGAGAGTACCAGGAAAAGATCTACTTTTGCTTCATTGACTACACTAAAGCCTTTGATTGTGTGGATCATAACAGACTATGGCAAGTCCTTAAAGAGATGGGAGAACCAGACCACCTCACATATCTCTTGAGAAACCTGTATATGGGTCAAGAA